TTTGATGTCAAATTACAAACTTAACAAAAATCTGACATATTTACAATATACATTAAAATAAAGATGAGTGTAATGGCAAAACAAATATATAAGAAATAATGTATTTGCCATGAATTAAGTTTATGATATTTGAAGAAATGTGTGATCATGCCCCAGTCAGTGAAAGTGTGTTTCCTACCCTTAGACCCCAGAAGGTTAAACAACACACTCTTAGGAGTGCTTCTGAGATTCAGAAAAGAGCCAGTAGCTGTCACAGCAGATGTACAGCAAATGTTCTATTGCTTTGTGGTCAGAAGCGATGATAGAGACTACCTCCGTTACTTTTGGTATGAGGACAACAACCTTGACAAAGATGTGGTGGAATACAGGATGAAAGTCCATGTATTTGGAAATACTCCATCACCCGCTATTGCTATATATTGCATGAGATGAGCCGCCAAGAAAGGTGAAGTAGAATACGGCTCTGATGCAAGACAGGTTGTAGAGCGACAGTTTTATGTGGATGATGGCCTGATCTCTGTTGCCACACCTGAGCAAGCAATAGACCTCTTAACAAGAACCAAACAGATGCTGGTAGAATCCAATCTGAGGCTACATAAGGTGGCATCAAATAGTGAACAGGTGATTGAAGCGTTACCTGAAGAAAACCGTTCCAAGGATCTGAAAGACCTGGAACTTGGCATAGATCCTCTCCCTCTCCAGAGACGTCTGGGCCTTTTCTGGAACCTGGAAATGGACAGCTTTACATTACTGGTGTCTCAAGAGGAGAAGCCATATACACGGAGAGGTATTTTGTCCACGGTAAACAGTTTATTTGATCCCTTTGGGTTCGTTGCTCCTATAATAGTGCAGTAAAAAGCTTTAATACGAGAATTGTCATCAGAACGGGGGTGGGACATTCCACTTGACCCAGATAATGAAGCGGAATGGAACACATGGAGAGACTCACTAAAAGCTCTGGAAGACTTGCATATAAAAAGGAGTTGCTACATTGCCATGTTACTGTCTTCAACACAGAGGAAAGAACTCTGCATTTTCTCAGATGCATCTACAGTAGCCATAGGGGCTGTGGCATATCTGACAAGGCCTTGTCGCTTGTTATGTAAACTTTGCATGAGGTTAGCTTTGATTTTTCTGAAGACCAGCCCACTGTGTTCTTGTAAGCTTAACACATGTTTCTTCTTCTTCCTGACTCTTACCTTGCTTGTGCATTGAAGTTGGGATTGAGTTTGAGAAATAATGTTTAAAAATGTCATTATTAGTTCCTTTTTAACGTGTAAAATAGTTTCCTTGTACCAGTATAAAAGTAAACCAATTGACCCT